AGTCCATTTAAGTTCACGCCTACTGCTTCAGTGACTCCATCCAGCCACCTCATTCTCTGTCGTCCCCTTCTTCTATTGCCCTCAATCTTTCCCAGCATTAGGCTCTTCTCCAGTGAGTCCTTCCTTCTCATTAGGTGGCCAAAGTACTTGAGTTTCAACTTCAGGATCTGGCCTTCTAAAGAGCAGTCAGGGTTGATCTCCTCTAAGATTGACCGGTTTGATCGCCTTGCAGTCCAGGGGACTCGCAGGAGTCTTCTCCAGCACCATAGTTCAAAACCTAGTGAACCAAAAATCAAAGGGGAGGACCTAAATTACACTGAATGCACATTGCATAATATATAATGTATAAATAATAATTTATATAGAAGTCTTTCTGACAAACTGTAAATCAGTGCAATAAATTGTATCCATCAAATTCATTTACTGCCTCATTAATGTTTTGACTTCTAGACCATCTACTTTGGTATCTTTCATTTCTCAAGCCTGTCAGAACAGCATGTAAACTACCAAAAACCTGGCATAACAAAACGCTTTCCAACTTTTTTCATTCTTCATCTTCCCTAAATTATTAATTCCTAAAAACAAATAAAACCATGTTTAATCTCATATTATACTATCCCACTATAATTTTTATACTGTTAAGTTAGAAATGCTTTAACTATAGAAGGCAATTTGTCCAACCTTTAGCAAAATGTTTTGCCATTATAATTCCAAATCCCTTGAGTGCGTAGGGATATCAAGTGAGTATTATGTTAACCACAACACTGTTTTATCAAGCAGATGTGGTCTTAGCGTGGGTGCAAGTTGTTTCATTAGATGCCAAAATGAATCTTACAGACTTGTTTCACACATCACTGTAAACCAGGTTGTTTGGCATAGTTTACTGAACAAGGCACAGTTGTCGGAATTCACACAATAGTTTATAAACCAATATAAGTGGGCTCATTCAACATAATGTTAAAAATCAACTAGCATGCATTCTGACTTGTAATCAGTCTTGAATGTTTAAATCCTTAAAAGACCAGAAGATTTAAATCTATATATTAGCAATCAGTGGTGTTAGGTGGTGATGAGAATATGTATTCTGAACTTCTGATACAAGGAATGCTCCTCCACACCCCTTCCCGAAGTTTATTTGGCTTTTTCAAATTGAAACAATAGACATTTTTGAATTTTAAAAAACAGAGATTCATTTTTAAACAAATTATGTGCTCCCTTTCTTATCAGTTTCTGTACTTTTGTTAAGTAGGCTGCAACGTTTTATAGCAGGGGTAGTCAACCTTGGCTCTTTTATGACTCGTGGACTTCAACTCCCAGAATTCCTGAGCCAGCACAGCTGGCTCAGGAATTCTGGGAGTTGAAGTCCACGAGTCATAAAAGAGCCAAGGTTGACTACCCCTGTTTTATAGCAACGTTTTTCAAGAAACTTGTGTGACTGGGGAATTCTGGGAGTTGACGTTAAGACAGGTTAAAGTTGCTAATGTTGAGCAATACTGACTTAGCATAGTTTGCTTCGCCAAATTTTAAGTTTGTTCTTGGAACAAATACCTGCGCATCAGAGAGGAGAACAGCAGTAATGTGGCAGCCTTTACTGACTTGGCAGATTCGAGAACAAGTTACGTAGGTCGAATCCGCCTTCACCTTTCAAGGTATGGGGAGGCGGTTTACGAAAGCTCCTCCCGCCCGCCCTGCCCGGATCCAGGTACCGTTGGCAGCTGCAACTCGACAGTGAGTGAATCGCGCCGACGTGGAGCATGGCGGAGTCGCAGCTTCTTTGCCTGGAGGATACTCACGTGAACGAACGGGTCAGTGAACATAATCCGCGGTACTACTACAGCGAGGAGCAACGGCGGGCGCTGGAGGTCCTCGTGGCCGACGGGGAGAAAACGTATAAGTCGCAGCTGAAGAAAGAGCAGCTGCCCGACTTCCTTTCCAGCAGAGAGTTGGAGGTCTTGCGGGACGGCTGGCGTGCTTACGATGCCCACCTGGAGCATGGCAAAACGGTCACCGGACCTTCGGGAAAACCCCTGTCGCTCTCTTACTGGCCCGAACGCTCCGACACCGAGATCCCTCCGCTGGACATGGGGTGGACTCATAACTATTTCTACCGGGGAGCCACGCGTCTGGCTCTGTACACGCACCCGCGCAAGGAAGACAAGGCGCCTCACGTCAAGCAAGTAGTGCGGGAAACGATCCAGCAAGCGAAGAAGGTGGGTAGTTCGCCTTTGCGCCTTTCAGATCTCAAAGCAGCTCCCCAGCCAGCCAGCCAGCCAGCCAGGGCCAGCGAAGTCCTGACCTACCTCGACGTATGAGTTAACTTGCCCCATAATTCCTCCGTCTGAGCGAGGCATCTCTTCCTTTCCTTCACAGGCGCGGACGTTACCTCTCAAAAAGGTAGCGTTTGCACCTCGCCATGAATCGAAATCTTGTTTAATCGGTTTCAGCGTGTTGTGAAACCTGCCGCTGTAATGTATTCGGTAAATTTTATAGTAGCTGCATAAACTAATAGTGCACGCGGGTCTTGTGCAACAAGCATTGTGGGACATTATAGAAAGTTTTATTTAGACGGACAAAATCAGTTGAATGAATGTTGTTCCAGGCCCTAAACGTTTCATGTCCACTTTCCTTCTCTAATAAACCAGCACTTTATTTATTTTTTTCTGCTTAAAGCTAACATAAAGGTTCTGTTTATTTTAAAGAAAGGTTGCTTAATTTGCATCTGGAAGGAGCTTAAGGATATTGCTTATAATATCTTATGAAAAACCAACTCTACAGAACAAGCCTTGACATGTTATTTGAAGTAATGGTGTTTTGTAATTTTCAACAGCAAATTTTTCATTAGTCCATGCGAGTTTCTCAGTATCAATATACACTGATTCTAAATAAATTCTAAATTTATCTTTAAAAAGTCAGGTGAACTATTTTAATTATTACAAAGTACAACCATTTTCCTTATGCATTCAACCAAATTGAAATAAATGGTAATGACATTAGGAATTCATAGATTGTGTCAATATTTTTTTAATTATTAAACCACACTTTCATCCCTTTCTTATGAAAGCTCGGGTTTTATATATTGCCCATAACAATTTTACAAGATAGAAAAGATACCTTCCAAGAACATTTAAGTGGGGATTTATCCTACCAGGTGAGAGTATCTGGTTGATTTTGTCTGGGCTAAGGAAAGAGATGTCTTCTTTAAAAGGTATATGAAAACTTTAAGAATATTTTGCAGATTAATCCAGCCCTCGCAGCTTTTTTTGTAAATAACTTTCCTAGATCATTCATTCTTCAAAACTACCTAAAACAATATAATAAGTAGAACTGAAATCTCAACATGGATTTTTTTTAAAAAAATAATTCAGTTTTAATTCTCTTTCTACTTGGAAACCGCTTCTGGACTTTGTGCTTGAGGTGGAAAAAAATGAAACTTTGATTTTGGGTTTTACCAATTAGATAGCTAGTTTATAGAAATGGCTAGTTTATATTATTATGTAAAAGTAAAAAGTTGAAGTTTGATTCTATTGTCTTTCTCTACTGCGCCAAAGGGAGTCAAAGTCAACACATTTTCTTCCTTTTTTTTCTTTGCCCTACACTTTTCCCTTCCCTTCCTCCCTTATTTTCCTACTATTTTCTTTTGTATTTTAAATTATAAACTAATAAAGAAATAAAATATGCAAAAGGAATCTAAGAATTTAGTTTTAATTATGAATTCATTTTAAGTCAGTTGATTGGCATTAACACATTATAAGAGAGATTTGAAATACGTCTGAGATTAGTAATGATAATAAATGGCATTGGGGTTTGGGTCCTCTGGCTTTTAGACTGGAAGTTTTCCATCTTTGACTCTGAGGAGATTATGCTCCCTATTCAGAGCCAGTGTGCAATTTGTGAATTCACCTTTTCTGCTTGAAGAGCAGATGGCAGCGGTAGTCAGAAGGGCCTATGCACAGCTTCATCTTATGTACCAGTTGTGCCTGTCCCTGGATCAGAAGGCTCTGCTTGCTGTCACTTTTACTATCACTTTCCAATTGCATTACTGTAATGTACTTTACATGGGACAGAAGCCATAATTTCTCCAGAATGCATTGCCATAGGTAATTAGTTTCACACCCTGCTACAATAGCAACACTGTTTTGTGAGCTATTCTGGTTCCCAATAGATTCTCAGGTCAATTCAAAGTGGTGGTTAACATTTTCACAATCCACTCCTCCACTGATGGAAGCAGGATCTCCTGTACCTGATGGCATCTGCTTATCCCACATACTGTACTAGAAATGGGCGTGTTTCAGATCTTCCCCCTAAGGCAATGCCATGTGGCAGGACCCAGGAGGCATGCCCTTTTGTTGCTGTACCTGTCTTCTGGAATGATCACTCAATCACTCACTCACTGTCACACACACACACACACACACACACACACACAGAGCCTGATTTTGTTGGCCTTTCGAAAGGCCATTTTGAACCTGCTCTTTAAGCTCACATGCACACAACTGCTTTATTGTGCTCTCCCACCCCATAGCCAGGAGGGATTTAATTAATTCATTAATTAATGAATATATATACCGTAGCTGCCTGCCTCACTGAATGTAACTCTGGGAGGTATACAACTAATAGCTAAAACAATCTCACAACCATTAAAGCAAAAAAGAATAAAAGCAAGATTGCAGAAGAACATTATGCTGCCCCATATTTTGCTGTTCCCACAGTGCACTTTCACTGCACATCCAGAAAAGATCCATGCTGTAATTCTGTCTGGACAGCTTCAGTGTGCATCATTAAAAATGCTGTGATTGGTGATTTCCTCAACTAAAATCTCAGATTTGTCAACCATTCACTATATAAAAAGTCTCCTCCAATTACTATGCACAGTACTCTTACTTTATGCAGTAATTTTTCTTCTTTCCTATCATACCATTCACTGATCAATTTTTTTTAAAAATAGTCTCTGGAATTGTGGGTTGATGATTAAGTGTTCCTGTTAATCACCAGGTTGCATCAATGTTGTATGTGTTTTTTTACCTTTTGCTGGCATGTGGTAGTAAATTGGCTTTGTGCAGCCAATGTGCAACTGCTAAATAAGTGTTAATGAAGACCTAGAGTTGGAAAAACATGTCCAATTGCAAGTACTGATATGATCTGTAAACTTACTTTGAATAGTTTATGGTTTCATAGTTATAGGATTTCATTGTTGTGAAGTGCCCTGTAATGAAGGGTGAGAAATACTTTAGGAGACTTGGCAAAGAGCCATTGCTAAAGGAAATGTCCAATAAGAGACAGCATAGCCCACAGCTAGATAGTGGCCAGAAGAGACTCTCCCTAGTTTCTTGGGTGATAAAGGAGATGTGACAGGAGAATTGCACTTTCAGACTTGCAAGATTCTATCATTATAGCATTACACTAAATTAGAATTAGCTTATCTGGTTGCGATAAGATGATAGTTGCATGCCATTCAGGGCCATCCGATTCAGAACTAAAGATAAAAAGTTTCCATGCATTCAGGGGGGGGGGGGGGNGGGGGGGGGGGGGGGGGGGGGGGGCAAAATCCACAGCCACTTGGTAATGCCAGAATGGAGTTAAGCTTATTCTTCTCCATGTGTACCCTCACAGTTCCCAGACACTAGAAAAGAAATGTGGTGGCATCACTTTCCAATCTGGAACAGAGATGTATGGTTGGGTTTCATTAGCATGCTGATAGTACTTTACCATGTATCAATCATACCTAGAACTTTCATGTACATGTTAATAGGAAGCAGGAAGAGTGTTGAGCTTTGAAGAACCCCACAAAGCTGCCCTCTTGAATTTGATTTCCCCTCCCCCCCCAACATGATTGGGAACTGGTTCTGGAGAAGGAAGGAGATTCATTGCAACGCTGGGCCTTCCATTCTCAATCTCCTAAACTGGTCTAGTAGATTCCACGACTGATGGTTTTAAAAGCTAATGAGAGATCAAGGAGGACACTATTCCCATCTCAAGGCTGCCAAAATTCAAGACGCACAATCAATACTGTCTTCGTGGTACAATAAAATAAATTTAATAATAACAACATAATATCTGGAGACACAGAAGAGAAAGAACTATGCAAAATACAAATATTTACAAATAGAAGTAGAAAGACTATGCCAAAGAAAGCAAAAATAGTACCGATAATAATAGGTGCCTTGGGTGCAATCTCTAAGCATTTGGAGAACCACTTGAACACCATTGGCATTGACATAATTTGCCATCAGTCAAATTGCAAAAGGCAATTTGCAATATCATCATCATCATTGCCCAGTGAGGCAATACCTTGATGTGGTTGTGGGGCTTGTGTGCTCTGAGGAAGATGAGAGCTATGCCAGAGATTCAACCATACTGGACAGGTCTCATCAGAGGAGACAAAGTGTGTCTCTCCCATAAATAATATGGTGAGAGGTAAATTGCAGAAATCCATACTGGCTCAGTTGTTGTCCAGGTTAAGAAAGACCGTGCTAGAAGAGGATATTTGAAACAAATGCGTCAGTTCTGGAAAGAACATCATCCAGAATCAGAAATAACAGAACAGAAGCTAGTAAATCAATGTCAGTTTATAATATGAAATGAAGTATTCACAGAAGCAGAATTGGAAGAACTGCAAAGGTCTATCCAGGGCAGAGAAATCAAAGCCTTGCCAGAAGTAATTCAGACTGCAGAGACAAACCAAGGGGAGTTGGCAGTAGAGGAATTCAGCAGACATATAGAACTGTTTTCATTTGGAAACCAGGCAGCCTCTCCTCTGCCTCAGAAACAACAAAGCCCTCTGACTAAAGAAATGCAAGAATTGAAAAAAAATTAGCTGAACATATTAAACAGCACAAAAGTATCAGAATAAGGTGGCCTGTGTTGAAGCTTGTTCCAGAGAAATAGCTAGCACAAGCATTAAAAGATTCCAAAACTGCAATATCAAATATAAGGGCAGCTCACTGCAAGAAACAAACCAATTAATGTACAGTACAGCTGCAGTTATAACTGAATACCTGGGGTGCAAAATCAACAAAGAAGAAAAAAAGCCAGACAATGCACCACCAAAATGGAAAATAGGATCGACAGATGCAAACAAGCTGAGATCACATGCAAACAAGCTAGAGCGGATCAAAGAAAAGAAGCTGAAGAACAAGAAGACCAAAGAATACTTAATGAAGAAATATCATATAGAAACAAGGAAGATCAAGAAACCACTGGAAATAATAAG